GCTCACACATCTTCACCCCCACAACGACACATGCCACTCATGCTTGTCAAAAGCATGTTGCTTATGTCCGCATGACAGATGTCCTAGTCTTGCTTGTTCGGGTCGGTTGATAGGGACGTCAACCAATTGAGTGGGGGAGGATGTCACGGTCATGCATGTCCAAGGCGTGTTGTCATGGCCGCATGACAGATATCTTGGTCTTGGTTGTCCAGGACGTGTTGTCCATTGTTGCATACCTGTTCCAAACTCCTTTTATATGTTTTCATCCTAGATAGGTATTTACTATTCCATATTGGGTCAGTACGAGGGTGTATGACCGTTCACTAAAATCGTGTCTACACCTGCAAGGGCTAAAATGCCCCAAAATGTACTATAGCGGGATATGACTAGCTTTCAACTTCTTCCTACCCGATAGTTATATGCAGTAAGCCGTTGTTGCCTTTTTGCTTACATTCCCATCTAACACCATTTACAATTTCTCAAATCTTGCTTTCAAAACTCTCTTTCGAAATCTCTCCGCCTCCGTTTTCTAAAAATATGTTATGGTATGATACGTTTGACGATATGACGAATATTGTGATAAGATGTATGATATGAATGGTGTGACAATAAGATGTTTCGACAAGATACACAACCTAGAAATTACATGAAAAGTTATGATAATGATATGATACGAAGAAAAATGCTAGAGAGGTTTTCTTACCTGATAATGAAAAATGAAAAATGTTGGACCTCATGCACATAACTCAACACCATCAAGATTGGCTCTAATGAACAAACGGGAGAGAATATGAGAAGTTTGTTGGTTTATGCTTAATCATGAACCTGATCAATAATGGGTTAAATATTAAAGTGGCTGTAGTTTAGTGGTGAGAATTCCACGTTGTGACTGTGGAGACCTGGTCTTGAATCCTAGCAGCCACATGCTTTTTTTAGGAACGAGCAAATTTGAAGTTGGTTGGTTTATCCTTAATCATGAAAGCGATGAATGATGGCTAAGTATCCAAGTTGTTGTAGTTTAGTGGTTAGAATTCCACGTTGTGGTCGTGGAGACTTGGGCTCGAATCCCGCAGCCACATTTCTTTTATTTAGCTACAAACGAGCAAGTAATGAATGCTGGCTAAATATCCAAGTGGCTGTAGTTTAATGGTGAGAATTCCACGATGTGGAGACCTAGGCTCGAATCCCAACCGCCACATTTACTTTCATAGATTCTTAAATTTTGTCTTTTTTTTAAGTTTATGAAAATTGATTAATTAAAGAATTAGAGAAAATAGATTTAATTTTGATATCACTAAAGCTGTTATATAAGGTATCTATTTAATAAATAAGGAAAACACATGCATATAAAACAAATTAAATCTTACCGACACTAACACTTTTTTTATTTAAATGCTCACCTTGACTTTCTCAATTCTACCCGTTACTCGTGCAATACTACTTTGTCTTTGCTTAAAAACGTAAGACACAAGCCTTGACTAGAATTAAATACTTAATTTTTTCTATAAATGTTTGAATTTCTAGAATGTTATCGAGGGGCTTTAAGTTTTTGATTTCAAAATGAAATAGAAGTAATAAATGCTTATAAAATAGAACTAAAAAAAATATATAAAAAAAAATAGTAAAAAAATTAGAAAAATGGGTGAAAGTCAACCCTAGAAAGGCATTTTGGTCATTTCCGCCTCTATTTCTTAATTAGGTATTTGGTAACGATGAGTTGGATGATCAACGAGGAAGAAAGAAAAATAAAAACCGAAAAGGGAAGGGAGGAAAGAAAAAAATGATTTTAGGAAAAGTAATAATCGGGGTGCTCCAATCATGTCATGAGTAAGCATTTTTCTAATCGATAGGAATATCTCTCTAACAAACATGCAGGAATGTACTTTGTTACAATTAGGGTGCTAGAGCTAGAGCGGTTTTCATGTTGACTATAACATCTGAGTCCCGACGAGGATTAATTTTCCCAAGGAAGGTTAATTTTCTTAATTTTTGAAATTTTATTAAGGGCTTAGAAGACAAATTTCAAAATGATGTAGAAGAAAAAAAAATGCTTAAAAAATCAAAAGAATCAATATAAAAAATAATAAGAATTGGGAAAAATAGTCAACGTCAACCCTAAGAGTAAAGTTATGATTTTGACACATTCCTAACGAGAGGTATGTAAGAGCCCTAAACATGAAAAGAAAACGAGGAAGTAGGGTTTGAGGGTGAGAAAGAGAGAAATCAAAAAACGTTCCAAACGGCAGCCTTGAGTCCGTTTTGGCTCAAGCTCCTTCACAAGAATTGTTAAACGGACGTTAAAAGACTAATTTAGGTGTTTGAATTACTCAAATTCATCCAGAATTCAAGAAAAACGGGAGGTAAGCTTTCTAGGTTTTTATCTCGATTTTCCTCTTATCTATAAAATTTTGAAAGAGTTTGCCAAGGTTCGAGGACGGTGAGGGATGTGCGACAACGTCTGTTAGCACATGCGGAGTTGGGGAACAAAGTGATCTGAGAACCAACTCGCCAACCCAAACCGCGATCTAATCCAACCCAACTTAGAAATGCCGACCTACATGGACCACATGTCGATATGAGAATAATCGCGGAAAGTCTGCGTTAAGTCATCAAGCCACTCTAGGAACCAAGTAGACCTTTATGGTACCTAGGGATGATCATGTGATTTGTGCTTTATGTGATCAATAGGAATATCTCGATAATAAAGCATGCATTAGAGAACCAAGTTAAGATTAGGGATTTGGAGTTAGAACATTTTTTACGTTGACCTAAGTCAATATGATTCCAGTAGATCGTGTACCTTAAAATTGTGCACGGTGATCAAAGGTCTAAACCTGTGCGCACTCAAAGATTGGATTAGGTTCAAGGAGTTAACCTTGAGCATCCTAAAAACACGAGATGAGATCTAAATCGTCTACACACTCCTAAGAACTTAGTAGACTTCCATCACAAAGATAACTAAGAATCCTTAAAATGCCCTGTAGTAGTGTGACGGTATCACCAAAAGTCTCCCACTCCTATCCCCTCTAGTAGAACCGTAGCACGTGCCTTACTAAACAGTAATAGTATAGGTACCATCGAGCGAGACCTAAGCCAAATAGTGTAGTGCGTTGAGGTGATTCAGGTGTTACTATCTCACGTGGAAATGCCCAGGGGTCTACACTGTAAACTTGTCTTGAGAGGGAGTGTATGACGACGCAGATACCTATTAGTTAGCCGGTATACAAATGTCTATTGGAGTTGAGGAGGTCTATTGGGTTTCTAAGGCTGCTAGGTGGCTTAACACGAACTTTGGATCTAGGTTGTTCTGTTATGACGCCTTGAGTTTTTCTTAGTTTAGGAGCACTAGGGTTTAGACTTTCTAATTGTCAATCACGATCCTAAGGTGCTCAATCTATTGGAGACATCTTGACTTAGCTCATGGTCTAGCCAATCTAACTTTAATGCCCTAGCTCTGTGCAGATAAACACGCTCTACAAGGAAGTAAGTTTAATAGGGAGATAACATCCACAATCACTTGGCGCACGGATCACAATAGTCCATCCTTCATCATAGGGGCATTTTGGTAATTTCTTACCTCAGGAATAACATGCTCATCCATAAGTACATAAAACTGCATGTTAATTGGAAATTTCACCCTCGGGGCATAACGGTAATTTTACCATAACATACATACAGTACATACTCATCTAAAAACGCTATTTTGAAGTTCTCAACATGCATTTTCTAGCCACCTAACATAAGGAATGCTCACATGCTAGCACGTCTTAGTAATCTCTACAAGTATTATTTGCCTAGAGTCCATGTGATTACGTACTTAGATGATGCGTGCCTTTCTGAGCTAGTTTTTACACATGTTAGGAGCTCCAAAATTCTTGAAATTTTCGTGGTAGGTCCTAATTCAAGTCAAAATATGGTTAACATCGATATTAGGAAGAAAAACTGATAAACGAAGACCGAACAAAGCAAAAAGAAGTCACTCACGCACCAACATGCGACCTCACACGTGGAAGAACACTCCACACAGGGCACGTGCGCGTACAAACGCACCCTCAGAGCGACACATGGAAAAATCCCATTGGTGGGGGTGCAAAGTGGGTTAGGTTAGCTAGAGCAGATCACTCTTAGTTCCAGGTCGGACGCAGGTCACGAGCAAACCAACGCGCCTTTGAACCTTACGCAGTGTAGATTAATTCTAATTTTTCCTCATCCAATCCATGCTTGACACGTGGTGATATCGTAGCTGGCCGGGTTCCGCGGTGGTTTCTCTTAATTTTTCATTAGCCACAACAATAAACTTACCATTTCTTGACGTTAGTCAAACATCACCTTCCAATTCGACACAACTCTAACTTCCTTCATGAATCTCGTGCGAAATTCCTCCAGTATCAACGTCACCAAAAATTCCAAACCTAATTCCAATAAATTCTTTCAAATTTGAAGGAAGACCGAAATAAAAAACACAAAAAACTTATTTATCGTTTTTCCTCGATTCTCGATGGATTTGATCAAATCAAAACCCCAAATGGTTCTCCGAATGCCTCCGAGCATTTCTGGTGAAGAAAGTTCAACAAAATTTTGACTCGAAACCATCAGCGGATTTCCACTTTCTCTCACTAAAGACTCTAGAACCTCATTTTCTTTCATGAGTTTTCTTTTCCTTCATCATATCAATCCGATCAAACCTAATCCCGACCTTAGTTCAAAATGACCGATTTACCCCTCGAAATTGAATTAGACCGATATTTCTAAATTTTCACTATTTTTTTTCTTATATTTTTCTCGAATTCTTACTAATTTTATAAACATTTTTATGCCTTCTAGAAGTTCAAAAGGAAAAAAAAGGAAAAAAAATGGGAGCTTCCATGTTACTTTTATATTCCATCCTTCTTTAGAAGGCGGTTGCTCTCATTAATGAGAAATAGAAAAGTAAAGGAGAGAGAGGATCAACAGATACACCTACTTCCTTACAGCCTTGGCCGCTTCCCACCATATTATTTATTCGAAAAAAACACACAAAAACCTATCACATGACGTTCCATATCTGGCCTCTGCTTCTATTTTATGATCAAAGTCAACCGAATACTCCGTCAAGAAAAAGTTGTTGGTTGATCATATCTTCAATCAACAAGCCGGTTTCTGAATCCTGAGATGAACACTCGTTCCTCAAATGAATGCTGGTTTGATTTGATGAACAGGTATCGGCGAAAACGACGAACATTCATATACTGTTCTTGCTTAAAACGCACTCGGAATCAGTTTTTGATTATTCGAAATCCAGAAAATGAACGAGGACTTGGTCCTGATTCTTGCGTCTTCTTTTACGTACTTCCCTTAGCTTATCTGTATTCCTTCGTCGTTTTCGTTGCTTCATTAATCACACAGAAACAATATAATAAATCAAGTAGTCGTAGTCGCTTGCTTGCTTGTATTAACAACGCACCATATTCATTTGCTTCTCTGTCTGTTTCTCTTGAAGGTTGGAGTTGACTAAATGTATATCAAATGCGTTGTAGTGAACGAACAGCCAGAAGCAGTCGGTGAGTGCTTTAAATCAATAACCGGTTCTATTTCGTGCATCCGTTTGGAACCATAACATCGACATCCATCTCTTTAGGTATCGTTTCCTTTCGGTTTAATCCTCCTCTGTTTTGTGCTTTTTCTTGTGTTTTTGGATCCAAAATTTCTAGGGTTTATGAAATTATATACTTCTATGCGTTGAAATTATGATTCAAGCTGTTTCATAATCTGATCCTTTTTGTTTCTGCTGCCATTGATGCATATCTAGCGTGCTGATTTCGGTTATTTACGTTAGTTAGAGAGGAAGTAGATTAAAGTAGGAGGGCGAGGCTGGGAAGGGGAATATGGCATCACCATCGACATCTGCACCGAGCAACTCGAGCTTGAATGGGGAGCAGAAAGGAGTGAAGAACAAGAAGAAAGAAGAAGAAAAAGAGGAGAAAGGAAAATCTGTTCCTTTTCTTAAGCTCTTCTCGTTTGCGGATTCATATGATTACATACTTATGCTAGTTGGAATCATTGGAAGCATGGGGAATGGAATTGGAATGCCTCTAATGACTGTGATCTTTGGACAAGTGATCAATACTTTTGGGAGTAGTCCGGACACGCACGACATCGTTTCGAAAGTTTCCAAGGTTAAATGAAAATTCTATTATGAAATTGCTTGGTTTCTGAGCTCCTAGATTCATATATATACATGTATCTCATCAGCTAATTGACCTTTACAACCTGATGAATTTAGGTGTGCCTAAATTATGTGTACTTGGCTGTGGGAACTGGTGCAGCGGCGTTTCTTCGTAAGTGGATACCGAAATAAGACTGTAATATATGTGTATAAATGAAATGGGATGTGTTTAATTAGATAACGTATCTGCAGAGGTGTCTTGCTGGATAGTGACGGGGGAGAGACAGGCTGCTCGGATTCGAGGGTTGTATTTGAAAACTATATTGAGACAAGATGTTGCGTTCTTCGACAACGAAACAAATACCGGAGAGGTTGTGGGAAGAATGTCTGGTGATACCATCCTCATTCAAGATGCCATGGGTGAGAAGGTATCGTAATTCACAATTCCGACGTGATTTTACAAATGCAATGAAACAAATGGAAACTAACATTGTTGTTGTTCATATACAGGTTGGGAAAACCATTCAACTAGTTACAACCTTCATTGGAGGCTTCACCATAGCTTTCGTAAGAGGCTGGCTGCTGGCACTGGTAATGGTATCTGCTATCCCTCTTCTTGTGCTAGCAGGAGCAACAATTGCTCGATACATGTCCCAAATGGCTTCTCGGGGTCAAAGTGCTTATGCCAGTGCTGCAAATGTTGTTGAACAGACTATTGGCTCAATAAGAACGGTATAGGATTCATCTATCTCTCTACTATTTGGAAAGATGAACGTTAAAACTTAAACCTTAAAACTTCGATGTTCTTAGGTTGCATCATTTACGGGTGAGAAGCAAGCCGTGAGCAGTTACAAGAAGTTCCTAACTCAGGCTTACAAATCAGGTGTGAAGGAAGGCCTGGGAGGCGGAATAGGAATCGGCATGGTAATGATGATCGTATTTTGTACGTACTCTTTAGCTGTTTGGTTTGGCGGAAAGATGATAATAGAGAAAGGATATAATGGGGGCCAAGTGATAAATGTCATCATAGCTGTTTTGGCAGGCTCAATGTGAGTGCATAACATTCTTCTTCGCCATTAAAACATTTTGAGCTTCATTTTTCTGATGGAAACATCTACATGTGACTTGCTTCAGGTCTCTAGGACAAATATCGCCATGCTTGAGTGCATTTGCTGCGGGTCAAGCTGCTGCATACAAGATGTTTGAGACAATTGAAAGGAGGCCAAACATTGACGTTTACGATCCAAAGGGTAAAACATTAGACGATATTCGAGGGGACATAGATTTGAAGGATGTGCATTTCAGTTATCCAACCAGGCCAGATGAACCCATATTCAGTGGGTTCTCTCTTCATATTCCATCTGGCACTACTGCAGCATTGGTTGGGGAGAGCGGGAGTGGCAAGTCAACCGTGATCAGTTTGATCGAGAGATTCTATGATCCACAGTCCGGTGAGGTGCTCATCGATGGCATTAACCTGAAAGAGTTTCAGCTTCGATGGATTCGGACGAAAATTGGTCTTGTCAGCCAAGAGCCAATACTCTTCAGTGCCTCCATTAAAGATAATATAGCATATGGCAAGGATGAGGCAACCGATGAGGAAATTAAGGGTGCATGTGAACTAGCAAATGCTGCTAAATTTATTGATAAACTGCCTCAGGTTCTACCATCTTCATATATTTATTCTCTTGTATAGTTGTATGTATGTATGTATGTATGTATAAATTTTATTTTGATGGTGTTAGGGATTGAACACCCTGGTGGGGGAGCATGGAACTCAGTTGTCTGGTGGGCAAAAGCAGAGGATTGCAATAGCAAGGGCAATTCTGAAGAACCCTCGAATTCTACTTCTAGATGAAGCCACGAGTGCACTCGATGCAGAATCGGAGAGGGTGGTGCAAGAGGCTTTAGATAGGATTATGATCAACAGAAGTACTGTGATTGTTGCCCATCGTTTGAGCACGGTCAGGAACGCTGATATGATTGCTGTAATTCATAGAGGAAAGATGGTTGAGAAAGGTAGAAATAAGAGTAATGGTTGTTCTTCATTGCTGATTACAGCCTTATTTAATTTCTCACATGTTCTTCATTGGTTGTGGTAATTGAGCAGGTTCCCACTCGGAACTCATCAGCGATCCAAATGGCGCATATTCACAACTAATACGCCTGCAGGAAGCGAACAAAGAGGAACAAGCTTCCAAAGATGTGAATCGAACAGAGCTTTCTCTGGAATTAATGAGACAGTCAAGTCAAAGGGCGTCTTACTTGAGATCCATAAGTAGGGGATCATCAGTTAGTCGCAGTAGCCGCCGGTCTTTGTCTGTGTTTGGTTTAACCACTGGAATCGACTTACCGAATGCTGGTGACATCGAAGACACAATTGAAGAGACCTCAAAATCTCCTCCCGTTTCTCTTGGTCGCCTTGCTGCACTTAACAAGCCTGAGATTCCAGTGCTTGTAATTGGAACTATTGGGGCAGTGTTGTGTGGGGTGCTACTTCCCATCTTTGGATTACTAGTTTCTACTGTCATCAAGACATTTTACCTCCCCCCGGATCAGCTGAAAAAGGATACCAAGTTCTGGGCTCTCATTTACATAGTTCTTGGGGTGACATCACTGGTGGCACATCCATGGAGAGCATACTTCTTCTCGGTTGCGGGATGTAAATTAATCGAACGTATTAGATCACTGTGTTTCGAGAAGGTGGTTCGTATGGAGGTAAGTTGGTTTGATGAACCTGAACACTCAAGTGGGGCGATTGGTGCAAGACTATCGTCCGATGCCGCATCCGTGAGAGCTCTAGTCGGTGATTCGCTGTCTCAGAACATAGGCAACCTTGCATCTGCAGTTGCAGGTTTGGCCATTGCTTTTGCTGCAAGCTGGGAATTGGCTCTCATCGTTCTTGCTCTCATTCCTCTCATTGGAATCAATGGCTATATACAAATCAAATTCATACAGGGATTTAGCGGTGATGCCAAGGTATATATATATATATATATGGTCACCTAATTCCTCTCATGGGTTTTAATTTGCATAGCTCATAAAGGGATGGTTTGGCTATGCAGAGTATGTATGAGGAAGCCAGCCAAGTCGCAAATGATGCAGTAGGAGGCATAAGAACAGTTGCTTCTTTCTGTGCAGAAGATAAAGTGATGGATATGTATAAAACCAAATGTGAAGCTCCTCTCAAAACAGGGATAAAACAAGGCCTCATTAGTGGAGTTGGCTTTGGAGTCTCCTTCTTAATATTGTTCAACGTATATGCCCTCACCTTCTACGTAGGATCCCTTCTCGTGCAGCACGGTCGAACGACGTTTCCTGATGTCTTTCAAGTAAATCAATGTTCTACCCATCTCTTTTGCTGCTTGTTTCATATTTGATATCTCTTTTAATCATATATGAGAAGCGCAGGTGTTCTTTGCCTTGTCAATGGCAGCTACTGGAATCTCTCACTCGAGCTCCATGACTCAAGACACTACCAAAGCCAAGGCTGCTGCTGCTTCCGTGTTTGCAATTATAGACAGACCCTCCAGCATCGATCCCAGCGACGAATCTGGGACGGTATTAGGCGATGTGAAGGGAGAAATTGAGCTTAAACATATAAGCTTCAAGTACCCTTTAAGGCCAAACGTCCAAATATTCAGAGACCTGTGCCTGCACATTCGTCCTGGCCAGGTTGGTTGCTCAAAAAATCATATTCCTTTAATGATTATGATGTTGAGGATCGTTGGGAGGGAGTCCCATATTAGTTAATTTAGGGAATGATCATAAGTTTATAAGTAAGGAATGCATCTCCGTTGGTATGAGGCCTTTTGGGGAAGTTCAAAACAAAGCCATGAGAGCTTAAGCTCAAAGTGAACAATATCATACCAATTTGGAGATACGTGATTCCTAACAAGGGATCAGAGTCATGCCTGTAACTTAGCCATGTCAATAGAATTCTCAAATGTCGAACAAAAAAGTTGTGAGCCTCGAAGATATAGTCAAAAGTGACTGAAGTGTCGAATAAAGGGTATACTTTGTTTGAGGACTCCAAAGAAGGAGTCGAGCCTCGATTAAGGAGAGGCTATTCGAGAGCTCCGTAGGCCTTTGGAGAGGCTCTATGGTGTGCTTTGTTCGATTGGAGGATTGTTGGGAGAGGAGTCCCACATCGGCTAATTAAGGGATTGATCATGAGTTTATAAGTAAGGAATACATCTCCAAATGAGGTCTTTTGGGGAAGTCTAAAGCAAAGCTATAAGAGCTTATATTCAAAGTGGACAATATCGTACCATAGTCATGATTTCTAACATATAATTATGATAATGATAATGATAATGATAATGATACGGTGTTTGTGTTTGATCCATCCAGACAGTAGCTCTGGTGGGAGAAAGTGGAAGTGGTAAGTCGACAGTGATAGCGCTATTGCAGAGGTTTTACGATCCTGATTCAGGCAGCATAACAATCGACGGAGTAGAAATCAAAGAGTTTCAGCTGAGATGGCTGAGACAGCAAATGGGGCTGGTGAGCCAAGAGCCAATGCTGTTCAACGAAACCATACGAAACAACATAGCATACGGCAAGGGAGGGGAGGCGAGCGAGGAGGAGATAATAAGAGCAGCGGAGTACGCGAATGCACACAGGTTCATCAGTGGATTACAACAAGGATACGACACAAATGTCGGGGAGAGAGGACTGCAGTTGTCGGGTGGCCAAAAGCAACGAGTGGCCATTGCTCGAGCCATCATAAAGGACCCAAAAATACTACTGCTCGATGAAGCCACGAGCGCACTGGACGCAGAGTCGGAACGAGTGGTGCAAGATGCATTAGACAGAGTGATGGTGAATAGAACCACGGTCGTGGTGGCTCATCGGCTCTCGACAATCATGAATGCTGACGTGATCGCTGTTGTTAAGAACGGAGTCATCGTCGAGAAAGGCAAGCACGAGAAGCTTATTGCGATCAAAGACGGGTTTTATGCCTCTTTAGTTCAGCTCCACAGTTCAGCTGCTGCTTCCTCTCCCAACACCTAAGTCCTAATGGACTTGAACTCTGCTTACCTTTTATCTTTTTGCTAATTATGTATAACGCAGAATTGTGTTTTATGCTTTAAGTTGTATTGGTTGAAGTAAATTAGGTGAACCATAACTTTATAAATTTAGTCGACAGTGTTATCTTTATAAATATTACTTTCATTTCTAGTTTTCTTATTTTTCAGAAATCTTTTTAAAGATCAAATAAAATTTAAAAGAAAAAAATAATTATGATGCTCGAGTACACCGAACAATCGAGACCACATTCAAATCAAAATGATTCTAGCGATAAGATGATTAAGAAAGACTTAAAAAAAATTAATTCCAAATTTAAGCGCGTTTTATTTGGAGTAATTTTATATAAAATGACTCATCAAAAGAATTAGATATGTCCCCGGAGCTTCTCGGTGTAATTTTTCTCTGTTTAGTATTATTTTTTAAAAAATATAATAATTTTAAGATTTTCATTTTTTCAATATAAATTTTACTAAAAAAATTCTAATTAATTGAGATATTTCATAATTTTAAAATGTATATATAGTGGGTGCGTGTGCGTGTTCTCTCATGCTCGGGAGTTCCTCTTGCTTAGTGTGGCATCTAGCTTCTTCTTCCTTATGGGGTATTTTTAACCGTTAACTCACCCTTCTAAGCAACAACGAACAAACCCTACTCCTAAATCATGTCCCAAAATAAGAGGGCTCAATTCATCATCCCTTGTTCATAAGTTACTTGGTTCAATTCTATTGAATATGTTCAACCTAGAAAACAGGGAGTAAAGTTCAAGCTTATTTAGTTCTACCAACTTATTTAGTCCTACTTATGATTCTAGAATTTGTTTTCAAGTGCCTTCAAAATACTCTATATTCAAAGTCTCATAAATCTAAATAAGACAACGGATTAATTCAAATAACTAATAGCTAATATTTTCTTAGTGGGTTAATCTAACTAACATGAGGTCTTAAATCAACGTTTCATGTTCATAGGCACGCGTATATTCACCCAACAAACATACATAGTCATATTATTTAAAGTGACTTGGTTCGATAAAAATATGCTCAAGGTCATTTTTATTGCCTCAGGTTAACCTAACCAATGTAACACCATAAATCATGGTGCAAGGTTCTAAATTTGCTTATTTTTTTGTCCCTTAGGCTCAAAGAAAACCTATTTAACATATCCAAGTTGGTTCCTACCAGTATTTCATTACATGTTTAGGCATGTTTGTTTTTCCCGTTTCCGCAACTTCGAATGTCATCTAATTTCTCACAGAGGTCCTAATTCGAGTTAATATAAGAGAATCCGTGAAAACAGATAAAATTGAAGGTGTTCAATCCCATTCAATTGAAACAGCCACATCATCATCCTCGACCTCTAAACAATGAAGGTTTCACTCTCAACCAACCCATTTTAGGCCTCAAATAGACTCGTGGTCATCACCCAATTCTTAATTCTTAATCGACTAAACCAACTGAATCAATTGTTTTTGAATATCCACGAAATTAAATCTAAACTGAGCATTTACGAGGATGAGCGTTTGTCAAATCTTCATAACTATTTCATAAATGCTTTGAAACTATTATTGGAATACAAATACATTCGAATATTATACAAAAAGTTAACATGACAATAACGTAGAAGGACGTGGCAATGTGAGATCCCACATCAGTTGGGAACGAGAACGAAATACCCTTTATAAGAGTGTGAAAACCTTTCTCTAACATACGCGTCTTAAAAAACTTGAGAAAAAAAAAACCAAAAAGGAAAGCTGAAAATATCTACTAGCGATGGGCTTGGGCCGGTATAGACAATGACAAGAGCACTTGTCCGTTTAATGGGCGAACAGCCCAACCCTTGGAACATACTACAGCTCGAAGTGGTGAAGAGTCGACATCGAGGTGTCAAACCTTCCCGTTGATGTGAGCTCTTGAGGAAGATCAACCTGTTATCCCTAGAGTAACTTTTATCCGTTGAGCGACGACCCTTCCACTCGGCACCGTCGGATCACTAAGGTTGACTTTCGTCCCTGCTCGACGGGTGGGTCTTGCAGTCAAGCTCCCTTCTGCCTATGCACTCGAGGGCCAATCTCCGTCTTGCCCAAGGGAACCTTTGCACGCCTTCGTTACCTTTTGGGAGGCCTACGCCCCATAGGAAACTGTCTACCTAAGATTGTCCCTTGGCCAGTAGGTCCAGATACAAGGTTAGAATTCTAGCTCTCGTATCTCACTGATGGCTTAGGCCCCCTCGCCCTCCACCTAAGTTGCGCAGGAAAGACCCAAAGCCAATCCGAGAGAACAGTGGAGCTTCAAAGAATTATATTCAATCACGTATTAATCAATTTTCTGTTCCAATCATTTTCTTTTTTGACGGGCTTCAAAATAATATTGAAATTTTTAAGAGAATGAAAATATTTAAAAAATTCAAAATCATTTATTAATGATTATTTGGAATTCTTTAAAAAATAATTTAAAACAAATTTAATATTTAATTATAAATATGTATATTTTCTTTTTTCTCATTTTTGGATTTTAAATCAATTCTTCGATCGTGGCATTTTAATTAACAGAAACAGGGTAGTTGAGTTTTCACCGTAGAACTCGGCCACATTGCTGTCTGACGGGTTACGCGGCTCCCGAGAAATCCAATTGCAACGGCGGTTCGCTCCCTTGCCGGTCTCTGCGAAGTCAGACTCACTGTGTTCACGACGAACGCTTCTTTACATTAGATTTGAGAGCGTTCCCGATTCGCCATGATCCCCAACTTCGTTTTCCTTTCAGGTTCGTTCACTCATTCCAATTCAATTATGATTTTCTACAAACCCTAGATCTCTTTCCATCTTCGTCTCTCTTAGCATTTCTGATTTCATCGATGAATATGCGTCAACATCACTTCAATTGTGCAGGTTAAACGAATTTGACCTGATTTTCGCTTCGTTCAACAGTAATGGTTTGATTCCTTTCATCTGATCGGTCTTCGTTTTCGTGTTCTTGTTCGGATTATTTACAATGCATCTGGATTCGTTGGGCTGGTGTTCAATCGATTTCCACTCTCCCCTGGAGTTATTTCTTGGCTCGTCTTAGGAGTTTTTCCCTTTTCAATTACTTGATCGTTTCTGCCATATCATTTCCGATCGTTGTCTCAGTCGTCGCTTTCGGATTCTTTCTTTTCGTTTGTTTTCATAATGGCCTATTCAGCGCAGTCTTCCCCTGGATTCTCTGCCAATTTCCCAGCCCCGCAATCCGATACCCCAACGCCTAGCGCTGAGACAAATCCAATGCCTCCGCCCTTAATCTCGACAGGAACGTCAAGATTTCCTCCAAATTTCCAACCGGATCGGATGCCATCTCCTTCCATCAGAACGCCAGCCGCACCCTCATCGGCAAATGGAATTAAAACTGGCAGTCCCATTCCTCATTTGAGTACTCCCCCAGGACCTCCTGTTTTTACTTCTCCCATCCGGCCTGCTGCTGTGCCCTTTCGTACTTCACCGGCATCTCCCCAGGCAATTGTCTTCTCTTCTGGTTCGTCCTTACCAGCTTCTACTCCTCCACATTTTTTGAATGCATCGACCGGGTTGCAACACCAGATATCTGATGTTTCAGAGGACTCAGTGCCTCTTGGGGAATCGCCATATGTTCTATTTTCTTCGCAGAAGGTATTGCTTTTTATGTTTTTTCCCTGGTTTGTTACAATGAATGATGAAAGTTAGGTTAACTGTTCACTCTAATTCTGACTGCCAACCTCAGTTGATTCAATGATTCCTTCCATTTATATATTTTGTAAGCAAATGCCATGGTCATGACCTTTTTATTTTTCTAAAATTAAGTTGGCATTAATGTTGTAATCTACTTCTTTCTGAAACTTGATACAGGTGCTGAAGCAGAAGAAACAAGCTAATGTTCCTAGTTTGGGTTTTGGAGCACTAGTTTCTCCTGGGAGGGAGGTTTCATCAGGTCCTCAAGTAATACAGCGTGAGCCCCATCGTTGCCCGAGCTGTGGAGCTTATTCGAATCTGTATTGCAATATCTTAATTGGTTCTGGTCAGTGGCAGTGTGTAATTTGTCGGAAGCTGAATGGAAGCGAGGGGGAATACGTAGCGCCAAGCAAAGAAGATCTTTGTCATTTTCCAGAACTGTCATCATCTATGGTTGATTTTGTCAGAACTGGGAACAGGAGACCAGGATTTATTCCAGCTTCTGATTCCAGAACGTCTGCACCCGTTATTCTGGTTATTGACGAGTCTTTAGATGAGCCTCATCTTCAGCATCTCCAGAGCTCCTTGCATGCTTTTATTGATTCAGTTTCCCCCACAACAAGAATTGGAATAATACTGTATGGCCGTACTGTATCGGTATATGATTTTTCAGAAGAATCTGTTGCCTCTGCTGATGTGCTTCCTGGTAATAAATCACCAACACCGGAGTCTTTGAAAGGGTTAATTTATGGAATGGGGATATATTTATCACCAATGCACGCCTCACTCCCTGTAGCACATACAATAATTTCATCACTAAGGCCTTACAAATCAAGCATTCCAGAAGCCTCTAGAGATAGGTGTCTTGGTACTGCAGTTGAAGTTGCTCTTGCCATAATCCAAGGACCTTCTGCTGAAGTTTCTCGAGGAGTTGTTAGAAGGTCGGGGGCTAATAGTAGAATTATTGTGTGTGCTGGTGGACCTAATACATTTGGCCCTGGGTCAGTTCCCCATTCTGTCGGTCACCCAAATTACCTGCACATGGAAAAAACTGCTTTAAATTGGATGGAACATCTTGGGGGTGAGGCTCATCGACAAAATACGGTGGTTGACATTCTATGTGCTGGAACTTGCCCTGTAAGAGTTCCTATCTTGCAGCCTCTTGCAAAAGCTTCTGGTGGTGTTTTGGTTCTTCATGATGACTTTGGGGAGGCCTTTGGTGTAAACTTGCAGAGGGCATCTGCTAGGGCTGCAGGCTCTCATGGTTTATTAGAAGTACGATGTTCTGATGACATTCTAATCACCCAAGTTGTTGGTCCGGGGGAAGAGGCACACGTTGACACACATGAAACCTTCAAAAACGACACCTCTCTTTACATTCAAATGCTAAGTGTAGAAGAAGCCCAAAGCTTCTCACTCTCCATGGAGACTAAGAGAGACATAAAGAGTGATTTTGTATTTTTCCAGTTTGTTGTACAATATTCAAATGTTTATCAAGCTGACATATCAAGAGTAATGACTATTCGATTGCCTACTGTTGATAGCTTATCAGAATATCTTGAAAGTGTTCAAGGTGAAATAGCTGCAGTCCTTATTGCCAAGAGGACTGCCTTGCAAGCTAAAACCCAGTCTGATGCAGTAGAGATGCGGGCTACAATAGATGAAAGAGTAAAAGATATTGCTTTGAAATTTGGGACCCTGTCACCGAAGTCAAAAATTTATCGGTTTCCCAAGGAACTATCTTCAATGCCGGAGCTTCTGTTCCATTTGAGAAGAGGCCCTCTTCTTGGAAGCATTGTTGGTCATGAAGATGAAAGGTCTGTATTGAGACACTTGTTTTTGAACGCATCCTATGAACTTTCCCTCCGCATGGTAGCCCCTCGCTGTTTAATGCACCGGGAAGGGGGTACTTTTGAAGAGCTTCCAGCATATGACCTAGTTATGCAGTCAGATGCTGCTGTTGTTCTTGACCATGGAACAGATGTGTTCATCTGGCTGGTATGCTACCACTTGCTCTACCTTCTACCTTCTTTTCTTAATTTTTTTTTTTTTTGCCATGCTTCTTCAGTTTATGATATTACAGCATCATCTTTAATTAATTGCTGGACATGCGACCATTGGTATTTTTGTCTTGAAAATCAAGCGCTATGTGAAAGTTTTTCCTTACTTGGAAAACCTGTTCAGTGGAATATGATTTCATTACCAGTTTTAATCAACAGAAAAATAGTTGAGAACAAAGGGAAAATTTTATATTCAATAAACTCATCCATAACTTACAATTTCCTGAGAATTTTCCAATAACAAAAACTACAATGTAGGAGAATAGATACGACCATTTTGCTGTTTTGAAGTTCTCTCATATATATTTAGAAGCTATTGTTTATTTACTATAATGAATATGTGTTTTTCAAGTGTATTGCAACTCAAATTTATATTAATTTAAAACTAGTGAAGATGAAAAACAATTGAATGCTGATGAACGTAAGCAATACCAGATAGTTTCCAACAATAATACTAGTTTTTTCATGAAAACATTTTCTGTAAAGTACATTAAATGAACTCTTAAATGCCAGATGAACAGGCACATAGATAGGGAAGGAGTGTCCTCTCCTCGCCCGCTTTTCTGATCTATACTTCGATTATTCCTATTCTTCACAGTCATAGCCTTGAAATGTTCTGAACTTTTTTGTCATTCAAATATTCATCTTCTAATTCGTTTTCCTGTTTGTTATTGGTGTACTTAGGGTGCTGAGCTTGCAGCTGAAGAAGGAAAAAGTGCAGCTGCTTTAGCAGCTTGCAGAACACTAGCAGAAGAGCTTACTGAAACAAGGTTTCCAGCTCCCAGGATTCTTGCATTCAAGGTTTGTGTCGCTATAGATGCTATATGTTTCTCACGTTGTGGTTTTTTTAGTTATCAATTTCTCTGCCGTAATGACAGAGTTCTGCTCTTTTCTTATTTCTGTCAATTGGATTGTGTTTGTTGTTCCCTTTTCTGGACACTTCTTTTTTACAACTTCTTCATCTCCCTTAATGAAAAGGTTACTGTATCTCTCTCATAACGATAACCCATTTAATTTGAAGCAGGAGGGGAGCTCTCAGGCTCGGTATTTCGTTTCTCGGCTGATACCAGCACACAAGGACCCTCCTTACGAACAGGTGAGCATGAAAGAAAAAAGATAACCCATTGTTCATGATTCTGATGATCCGATTTGACTTGTAAAGATTCAGGATGGGGTCATTTGATTGTAAAGGATGGTGTCGAGTCGTTTGATTGGACGCTAAGAGATTGTTAATTTGATTGGTGCAGGAGGCGAGATTTCCACAACTTAGAACATTGTCCACAGAGCAGCGGACAAAGCTGAAAAGTAGTTTTTACCACTTCGATGATCCCAGTTTCTGTGAATGGATGCGAAGTTTGAAGTTGATCCCACCAGAACCAAGTTAAAAAGTAGTGAGTAGTAGGATTCTTGTCTTTTCTTCTCTACTTTCTTTTCAAACATCTCTTTGTTTTTTCGTGGTGTCTGTTGGCGGTTATAGGATCTTTCTCCTTCCACCCACCCTTTCCTCTCCCTCTTCTTATACAGGAAAATTTCATACCGACTGAACAAATTCTTCGGCATTTTGTATTGCTCTTACGGACGGTTACAATAAGCCCTTTTGGACTAACAATTATTCCATGCTTTTACATTCTAACGTTTAGGGAAGGGTTACTAATATGTTTAGCTCGCTGTTAAAGTTTATGATATACGCTCGAACGAGTGGTTTTGTTATGCATCTCAAATTTTGATTTCGTATGATAAAATCTCCTAATGGACGTAATAAATTATATTTCTTTTTACTATGGATTCTTAAAAATTACAAATGCCATTGAGTTATGGATGATAGATCATGGTACTATGTAGAAAATTAAAGGGTTTGCTATTTTATACTTGACTTTAAACGGTCGAGATGGACTCTCACAATATAAACAATATGATTCAGAGACAATTAGAAGTTTGCTAGTTTATCATTAATCATGATCGGTCAAAAGAAAATCAACATCGGTTTTAAATGATTAGTAGGCCATAAGATCTCTGATTAGTAGGCCATAAGAACTCAGCTCAAAATCCCAACAACTACTTTTGTTGATTTTTAAAAATCATTATAGATCACAACCCAACCCTATTGATCAAGGTTGGTATTAAACAAGATCACAACCTTAGTGGTGAGAATTCGACATTGTCGCTATGGAGACCTATGTTTGAATCCCATAGCCACAATGAACAAGATCACAACCTTAGTGGTGAGAATTCGACGTTGTCGCTATGGAGATCTATGTTTGAATCCCAATAGCCACATTAGCCACATTTGACATTTTTCTGTAACATTTTTTTTCCAAGTCTCAATAACATTGTTATGCTTTTAGTATGACAATAATGGTTTGGTATGGTTCTTGTTCCACCTTGTATAGAATTCATAACCCAACATGATTAGTTGTAGATTATAAAAAATGACGTGCAAAATATTGAAGTGGCTGTAGTTTAGTGGTGAGAATTCAATGTTGTGGCCGTGGGGACTTAGGCTCGAATCCCAGCAGCCACATTTGTGTTCTTTTAGAAATTTGTTGGTTTATCCTCAATCATGAAAGTGATGAATGTTGGCTAAATATCCAAGTGGCTGTAGTTTAGTGGTGAGAATTCTACGTTGTGGCTGTGGGGACCTAGGCTCGAATCCCAGTAGCCACATTTGTGTTCTTTTAGAAATTTGTTGGTTTATCCTTAATCATTAAAGTGATGAATGTTGGCTAAATATCCAAGTGGCCACTAGTTTAGTGGAGAATTCAATGTTGTGGCCGTGGACCTAGGCTTGAATCCCAGCAGCCACATTTGTGTTCTTTTAGAAATTTGTTGGTTTATCCTTAATCATGAAAGTGATGAATGTTGGCTAAATATCCAAGTGGCTGTAGTTTAGTGGTGAGAATTCCACGTTTTGGTCATGGAGACCTAGACTCAAATCCCAACGACCACATTTGACATTTACGAGATGATATGATCATGTTATATATACTATGTTGGGAACGATAAAAAGTTTGCTTATTATTATTTTTTTTTATCTTAACCTTGAATGGTAAGATGGGCTCTCAAAGTATTGTATGTGGAGATATCGGGGGCTTGCTAGCTTATCCTTAATCATGAACAATCAATCAAAATAAGATTAACGTTAGTAATGAATGACAAGTTGATAAATGAGCCCCAAGAGTCTAATATTATGATGAATTGGTTAAATATCAAAGTGGCACTAGTTTAAGTTGATAAATGAGCCCCAAGAGTCTAATATTATGATGAATTGGTTAAATATCAAAGTGGCACTAGTTTAGTAGTAAGAATTCTACGTTGTAGTTGTGAAGACTTGAGCTTGAATCCCAATAGCCACATTTGTTTTTTTTTATGCCCACGAGTTATGAGATGATACGATCATGTTACTATGTAGAAAATGGTAAAGGGTTTGCTAGCTTATCTTAACCTTAAACTGTTAAGATGGGCTCTCATTATACTCTACTAACATATGATATGGAGACAATTAAGGACTTGCTAGCATATCCTTAATCTCAAACCGTTAAGACGAAATCAACATTGGTATTGAATGATGAGTTGGTAAATGAGCCCCAAGAAACTAGACCATGATGAATGATGGGCTAAATATCAAACTAGCTACCGTTTAATGGTGAGAATTTCAAGTTGTGACCATGGAAGCTTGGGCTGAACGATTAATAGAAGTTCAAGTTGTGACCATGGAAGCTTGGGCTGAAACGATTAGTAGAATTTCAAGTTGTAACCATGGAAGCTTGAGGTGGACAATTAGTAGCCACATTTGTTTTTAATTCTCAAAAACATTACTTTTACTGCCGTTAAAAATAACACAAATCATTTGAAAGTGAAATTGAGTTTGATGAAATAAATTTTTAAAGCTACTTTCTTAAAAATAACACATGTTCATGAGTTAGGAAATGATATGATTATGTTAGTAGGAAATGGTAAAAGGTTGGTTAGTTTATCTTAACCTAAACCATCAAGATGAGCTCTCATAGTATTCTATTATTGTATGAAATGAACCATATAATGTTGAGATAATTAGGAGTTTGTTAGCTTATCCTTAAGTGTGAACCGTGAGATCAAAGTTGGTATTAAATGATGAGATGATAGATGACAATGTCCAGTACACACATTTGTTCATCATTATTTTAACGAACAATATAATGTGGAGATAATTAGGGGTTTGCTAGCTTATCTTTAATTGTGGACCCTCAAGACGATATCAACATTGGTATTAAAATGATGGGATAAACATCAAAGTGGATGTAGTAGTTTAGTGGTATAGATTCTAAGTTGTGGCGGTGGAGACATAGACTTGAATCCCAACAAACGAAAGTGAAATTGAGCATAATAAAGTAATGGAAGCTGCCTGTATAAGATTCTAATGAAAGAACATAAACATCTTCTGAAAGTATCCATTGTCATTGACGACGAGAAAAAGAAGAAGAAACCAGTGGGTTGGGAGTAAAAGGAACCAAAGAACAGAGCCAAGAAGAAACAAAAGGGTACTTTAATCAGCAAAGAGCAATCTATAAGTTGGTGTGTTTCATCAAACTTATCATCTCAACCAAGGAGGCTTGGAGAAAGGCCATAAGGGCGTAACAAATATGGGACATCAAACTTGTCATCTCAACCAAAGAAGCCTAGAGACAGGATTAAAAAGAATGTTAAAAAATAGAGGAGTAAATTACAAGAAGTTTCTACATGTAAGACTTTTTTTTGCATACAAGAGAGGAGTGGAAGAAATTGAATGTTGCAAAATTAAAATTTCTTTCGAAGAAGACAGAGTCAACCCAGGACTAAACAAACTTGATAATGTCCCAAGACCCTAGCAAGGATTAAGGTTACAAACATGCAGGAGTTACTCGAAGTGAAGAACCTTGAACAATTTCAAGCTTCATTAACCGTTTTACTTTCATTAACAGAGCTCCATTTTTGTCGAATATCTTGAAGAACGAATTGACTAACTCCATTCTGCTACCTTCTTCTATCATTTGACCAAGGCCAATAACATTAATCTTTAAACTTGGGATGCAATATACCTTGGTCAATAGATGTTGATCGTTATTCTTACACTAGAACTAGATGGATCCTTTGCCTTGGATCAATATAATTGATGTGTTGCAAAGTTTCACATTTCCGATGAACTTCTCATCAAGCTCCTTGAACTTTTCCCGATATTCAGACATGTGGCTGCTTGCTCTATTGTCTAGGTACCACATGTTGGTCTCCACTTGGTCTTCTCCATCTTCAAGGGGTGCACCATAACCTTCTTTTCATTGAGCATCTTCTCGGCCAACATAAGTGCAGACTCTTCGTTATTTGTGGATGTGAGATTTGCCTCCTTATTGTGCTCTTATTGTAGCATTCTACCACATATACTCGTATTTTTTTTTTTATAGAAGTAACATTTAATCATGCTCTTGTCCTTCTAGGGATTCGTATCGTCATGGTTTTGTGAAGTATTTTCACGGCTTCTTTGTTGCCACATTTGTGACCACACCCACAACCTTTGCTTTCTTTTTTTGTGGTTGCCATGTCCCTTCATACCTGAAAATGAAGAATGAGCCACATCTTTCTTTTTTGTTCGTGCGAGTCACTCTTTAGGTGTGAGTAAGACATTCTTCTCATCATCTTCGTCTTCATAGTCACGAAGTCTCTCCTCATGGACATTAAGCGACCAACAACCTCCTCAACCGACATGTTCTTAAGGTCGTTGATTTTCTTGATGGAGGTGACAATCTGCATGAATCTCAAGGGAACAGCTCGACAAAACTTCTTGACGATGAAGATCTCTTCCACCTTATCACATAATGAATGGATGCTAGTGATGATTTTCGTCAACTTCATGGCAAAGTCAAATCCTTTTTCTTAAGACAAACTTGTTAGAAAACAAGCAAAGTAGTCCGTCTATGCGATGATCCTATACGATGTTCTAGATTGCATACATTAGAATGAAACTTATTGGAAAACATCCAAATGGTTGTAGTTTAGTAGTGAGAATTCCATGTTGTGGCTATAGAGACTTGGGCTTGAATCCCAGTGGCCACATTGACCTTTTTTTAGCTACGAACCATTGAAGCATATCAACATAACTCAAAACCACTATAAGCAAATTATAAGTTTTTTTTTGTTTATCCTTAATCACGAAAGTGAGTAATGATGGCTAAATATTTAAGTGGTTGTAGTTTAGTGGTGAGAATTCTGTGGCCGTGGAGACCTGAGCTCGAATCCAAGCCCGCCACATTTGTTTCATAAGTCCCAATAAAAATAGATTCTTATAAACAACACATATGTGTCATGAAAAGATATGATCATGGTACTACTAAAATTAGTAAAATGAAACATAGAAACATAAATTTTAATCAAGAATTGGACACAAAACATTGATCTCCTTTTTTATTAGGTTTTAGCTACAAACTATTCGATCATATTGAGAGATGCCATCTATTTGCTGATTGGATCAAAATAAGTTACAAGATGGATTGATGGAAAGAATTACGAAAGGGATCACCATAACCTTGCATCTTCTGGCCAATATAAGTGCGGACTCTTCATCATTTGTGAATGTGAGATCAATCGTCATGTTCTTAAGGTCGTTAATTCTCTATGGATGTAACAATCTACATGAATTTGTGAATGTGAGATCAACTGTCATGTTCTTAAGGTCTCCATGGATGTAACAATCTACATGAATCTCGAGAAACATGTCAAAAGAAACTCTTGACGATGAAGATCTTTTCCACCTTGTCACGTAAGGTACGGATGCTAGTGATGATTTTTGTCAACTTCATGGCAAATTCGAGCCTTTTTTCTTTAGGTGTCTTTGCTAGACCATGGTAGCACATGTTGTCCCCACTTGTTATAGAGAGTTATTTGAGGCAAAAAAAAGTGACAAGAGTAAACCGTGGTGTCTTTGCAAGGTCAAGATGGAATGTGAGCCTACAGATGAGTATTTGTAGCAATTTGATTTATAGCACCATCTATGGGGATCAAACCCACGATCACGTGATTAAAAGTCACACGCTCTACCACTAAGTTAAAATGGCTTGTCAAAACCATGATAGCATATGTTGTCCCCATTTGTTAGAGTATTTGCAACTATTTAATTTATAGCTCCTTATGTGGGGACCGAATCAATGACCACATGGTTAAAAAGCCGTGCTCTACTAATGAGCTAAGACAACTTGTCACAACTATTGTAGATCAATATTGCTTACTAGGTATATTTATATACTTTATATCATACTCATATTTTGTATTAGGGTGGTATGTCTTAAAACTATTCTCGAGATTGAACCCATTACCTCGTATTTAAAAGCCTTGTGCTCTACCATTGAACTAAGATGGCTTGTCACAACCATGTAAGCACGTGTTGTCCCCACTTGTTAAAGAGAGTTATTTGAGGCAGAAAAAAAGTGACGATGAAAGTAAACCGTGGTATCTTTGCTAGGTCAAAGATAAGAGAGCCTACAAATGAGTATTATTTATTGGGTATATTTTTATACCCATATTTTGTATTAGGTTGGTGGTATATATTGATATTTGCTCAAGACTATATTCGAGACAAAGAGTTTAGGGTTCTTCGCAGATATTTAATTTATAGAACAATTAAAGACTATTCTCGAGACAAAGAGTCATTGGGTTTTTTTGAAGATATTTATAATTTATAGCACAATCTGTAGGGATCAGACCCACAACTACGTGGTTAAAAACCACGCGCTCTACCACTAAGCTAAGTGGCTTATCAAAACCATGGTAGCACATGTTGTCCCCACTTGTTAGAGAGAGTTTTTTGAGGCAGAAAAAAGTGATGATGAGTAAACCCTGGTGTTTTGCTAGATCAAGGATGTTCCAAAACTGGGGTACTATTGGGTTGGGTGAATTCAATAATAGATGCCTGTTGGCATTCTAGCTTTCCTTCTCCTTTCAGGGCCTACCCGAAAGAGAATCCAGTGTTTCTTGGTCGTGAATATCTAAATAGGACTAACTGCCCCGTGGTTTGCTTCGGAACAAACAATTAGAATTAGGCTCATTGAACGGGAATATGTGTTATCCATATAGGGGATCTTTCAATGGAGAAGATCCGTCGACCTAAGACGAAGAGAAGGGTCTATCTATTTTATTTAGTTATTCAGTTAAACCAATGATTCGTGCTTACTAGGTATATTTACATACTCTATATCATGCCCATAGTTCAAAGATTGGAAAGGAAAAGTTTACTGGATCCGATTTCGATTTTTAGAAGATGCAAATTGAAGATTATTTGTACCAGAAATATCTTCACAAACCGCTATTGAGGGTGAAACCGGATACCATGACCACGAAACAGTGGAAGCTCAAGAATCGTCAGGCCCTAAGATTGATCTGATTGACGTTGTCCAGAAATGTGGCATTCAACATAATCAAGGAGAAGAAAATGTCAGATCTATTGAAGGTGCTGTTAAATATGTTAGAAAAATCGTCGATTATGAACAAGGTATATTTGATGCGAAAATTGTTCAATTGTACAAGACGAATAATGTCGCTTTTAGACAATTGTACAAGATGAAAGAGGAAGCATAATCGCAAATAAGAAGATGATGATGACTCTATAAATTTCGCTGGAGACATTGGGGAAGTTCTCATCCTCAGCGTGGACAGTCTGATTGAATCTTGAATTTTGGATTTAGGTGCATCTTTTCATTCATCTCCAAATAAAGAGCTCTTTCGAAATTTCAAGTCTAGAAATTTCGAGAAGGTGTATCTTGCGACAACAAAAATTTTGAGATTGAAAGAAAAGAGGATGTCTGCATAAAAACTCCGGCAGGAAATCAGTAGACATTAAAGGATATCAGATATAATCCTTGTCTCACGAAGAACCCGATCTCTATTAGTCAATTGGATAACACAGGTTATGCAACAGAGTTTGGGAAGAGTTCATGGAAGATTTTGAAGGGTGCTATGGTGGTAGCATGTGACACAAAATCTGGAAACTTATACACCACTACAGGGTGTATGAACATGGTTGTTGTTGCTAAAAGTGCTTCAAATTCAAGTCTATGACACAATAAACTTGGACATATGAGTGTCAAAGAAATGAAGATGCTGGTTGCGAAAGAAGTTTTAGAAGGTCAAAAATCTGGTGATATGGGTTCTTATGATGACTGCATTATGAGCAAACAGAAATGAGCTAGCTTCAGAAAGATTGCCAGATAATTGAAGAAAGTGTGGTTGGAAATGGTCCATACAGATATTTGGGGACCATCTCCAATTCCATCCCTTGGCAGATCAAAATTCTACGTCACCTTGATCGATGATTTTAGCAGTAAAGTGTAGATTTATTTCCTGAAACACAAGTCAGATGTGTTTGCTACCTTCAAGAAGTGGAAAGTTGAAGTTGAAAATCAGATTGGCTTGAAGATTAAATGTTTGGGATATGACAATAGATGAGAGTACGACAAGTCAAAATTCAAGGGAATTAGATTAACGAGGGCAGTTCCCGGTAAAGCAAGACAAAATGGTGTTGTTGAAAGAATAAACTGAACTTTGAATGAGCAAGCAAGGAGTATGAGAATTTATTCTGGATTGCCAAAGACATTTTGGGTTGACGCTATAAATATAGCAGTCTACTTGATCAATAGAGGGTCGTCAGTACCCTTAGAGTTTAAGTTGCCAGAAGAAGTATGGACAGGAAAAGAACTCAAGTATTCTCACTTGAGAACTTTTGGTTGTATTACGTATGTTCGTATTGATCCAGAGAAGAAGGACAAACTTGACGCTGAGCACTGGGCTATGAGCCTAACATGTTCGAAAATAGGTTTTGGGATGACAAGAACAGAAAAGTTATGAGACATTGTGACTTGACCTTTCATGAAAATGTCATGTATAAGAATAAAGAGAAGAAAGGTTCCAAGACAACGTAGCAAGTGAGAGTTGTGGTTGAGTTGTTGAAAGATTCACCTAGTGATGAGCAGATTGATAAGGCAACCCTAATCCTCAGCCCAACGATCTAAGCTTTTGTTTTAGCAAGAACCCTTGAATCAAAGTAATGAACACCTCCTTATACGAATTTTGGATCAACCAAGAGATAAGGCTAGAATTAGATTACCTCTTACGATCGAAGATCTAGAAGCAAGATTTGGAACTTGTTCTAAATTGAGTCACTACACAATCTAACTTGATCAAGGCTTGATTGAATGGCTCAAGTGCAATTCTACCCCAAAAATTGCTTGAAACTTAGAAATGACAAATATGATGCTCGAATTTCTAAGGGAAACGTCCCAATTTGAGATTTGAATTACATTCATCCACGAATCTAAATTTTACATAACATATTGTGGGTATTTATAGTCTCTCAACAAAAGAGATTTGTGGACGGGATTTATTTTCGATCCCCTTTAATCTCCACAAAAGAATAAGTCAAATTGACCATTTGACTTTTACATAATTTATGAAATTAAAAATAGTTCTTTCTAACAAAGTGATGTACTTGAGTGGCTAATGTGACAGGTTTGAAATCAATTGAGCTCTCAGCGCGTAAGTTTGAATTCTGTTGATGACATATCTTCATGACATTTTTTGAATCTTCTTGGCAATAGGTCCATTTGGAACACAGTGATTCTTATCATAGGTACTCAAGAAACTCCTAAGACTGTTGTTGAGGAACCAGAGGCGGATCAAGTGACACTTGAGCAGGTGTTGAGAAGATCATCTAGAGCTATCAGAGTATGAAAATAGGTATTACCTTCATACATTTGTTGCTGGCTGATGAATGGGAACTAGAGTCCCTTGGTGATGCTCTTCAGTCAGAGGATACAACCAAGTGAGAGCAAGCCATGGATGATGAGATGTCTAGGCTTTAGAAATACGTTGCTCTCTCATCTACTGAGGCTAAGAGCATAGCAATAGTTGAAGCTAGAAAGGAGATGATATGGATGACAGACTATCTAGAAGAATTGGGCAAGAAGCAGCACTAGAAAATCTTTATGCAGATATTTAAAGTGGCATACAAATAGTGAGGAGTCTAGTCTATCATTCAAAGAAAAAATACAGAAGACGATACCATTTCACTCGCAGGTTAGTAAAAGATGATGATGTGTTTGGAGAAGATAGAGGGTGAAAAGAATCTAACAAACATGTTGACAAAATGTGTTGATGTTAGAACATTGAAGTTGTGCAAAGCCTCAATTGGTATGGTGCAGTAAACATGCTGATAGTCGTTTGAGAATGAAATGCTTGGTTGAATGGACCAGTCTGGGAGAATTTTTGGATACGTAGCCTGTGTCTATTTATAAATTATTCCCGGGGAGAATTTTTGGATACGGAACCTGCTGTCTATTTATACATTATTGAATGGTAGAATTTTTGGATATGGAGCCTGTCTATTTATAAATTATTCCATTGTTATTGTTACTAAAACTTAAAACTATATGTGAAAAATAGAGTAAACGACTATTTATAGTAAAAAATTGGTAAAGAAATATAGGGTATATATTTATAAATAATACGTGGTTATATCTCTTAAAACTATATATACATAGTAAACAGAAACCATATATATACCCATCATACATACAGTGCTTTCTCTGTATTCTCTCTTGGTGTTCATATCTAAAGTTATCCATATAAACTTTTAGTCAATATTCCTCCTCCTTGTATTTTGTCTCTCTTGTTCTTTGTGTTCATCTTGATCAAGTGTGTGTTATTGTACGATCTTAACAGGCCCATAACCCATAGGTCCCAAGATCAAAACTTCATTCTGATACCAATGGAAAGAAAGGAAAGAAAATCTACTCATGGAAGGAATGAATGAAAATCTCGAGGGATTGGAAGGAGGGTTTTAAGAATTTTTTTTTGAAAGAAAATGATGAGTATGGAGGTGTTATTTGATCACCATCTATGTTAAAAGCACTTGAAGAGTGACTCCAACCTTTTCTTCTAAAAGATTAAAAGCAGATTATGAATGCAAAAAAACAATCTATGATCCGACGCCATTAAACTTCTATATAGAATAAGATTTTCCATAAAAAATTCACCAACCTTTTAATAGTTTAAATACTCATTCTATTAGATTTCATGTTGAGAATGCTCAACTTTCCACCAAAATTGGCTCGGTTTCTACTATAAATTTCTCTAAATTTTCTAAATTAGTTCTAGAATAAGAGAAGAGGTAAGCACCATTGATGTTTCTTTCCCGTTTTCACAATTAGCTGTAGTGAGGAGGCTTTCATAACGAATCGATTAAATTTCTTCCATGAATCAAGAGTTATGGTGAAGATGAGTTGATTGGAACAAAGAACACTCAAAACCATCAACTAATGAAAGATAACTTATGACGAGAAAAACTAGGTTTTAAGTATCATAATGGAGCAAAACTTGATTTAGTGATTTTCCTTTGAATTGACGTCCCAATACTCTTAAATCCTCTGAATCAAACCCTCAAGAAATCGAGCAAAAAATGCTCATTGTGTATCAGCAAATTTTGAGAAAAAAATTTACTAGGGAGTTGGGTTTTGTATTCCTTTTTCTAGCAAGTCTTTTCTCTAATTCATAGTCATGTTCCTCCCCCAAGCATCCTCTAAGTAACTGACATGTCACCTCTTTCTAGTCACCTTTCTAATATCTTCATCTACAAATTACGCATCAACCTCTTACAAGTCACAGTCATATCATCACATCAACCTCTTAAGTCATAGTCATGTTGGATCCTCCAATGCTCCTCTAAGTAAGTCACCATCATATCTCTTTCTCATAGTCGCCTCCATGTCGCATCCTTGAAGTCGCCACATCAGCCTCTTTTAAGTTAGAACCATGTCTCTTCTTCAATCCTCCTCCAAGTGACCGACATATGACCTACTCCAAGCCTCATAGTCATTTCCATGTTGCCTCTCCAAGTCACCTCTATGTCACCCCTTGACTAAGTACATCTATGATGCTTTCTCCAAGGAGCTAGAGATAAAATTGTGCAATGATCGAAGTGACCAACAAATCTTGACTACCAACAAACAAATCTTGCGCTGAAGGATAAAATGGCGGGCCAACCAATAAATCTTGCACCTAAAGATAAAATGGCCGGCCAACAAACAAATTTTGCGCCAAGAGATAAAATTGAGCCATAGCTGAAATGACCAATAAATCTTGACGGCTAACAAACAAATCTTGTGCAAGATAAAATGGCCGAAGTGGCCAACAAACCTTAATCTTGTGCCTAAAGATAAAATTGCACCATGGCTAAAGTGGCCAACAAATCTTGACGCCAACAAACAAATCTTGGGCCAAAGATAAAATGGCCGAAGTGGCTATCAAATCTTGACGGCCAACAAAACAAATCTTGCTCTTAGAGATAAAATTGCACCATGGCTGAAGTGGCCAACAAATCTTGATGCCAACAAACAAATTTGCGCCGGAAGATAAAATGGCCAAAGTGGCCAACAAATCTTGACACCAACAAACAAATCTTATGCTTTAAGATATAATGGCCAAAGTGGCCAACAAAACAAATCTTGCCCATGGCCAACAAACAAATCTTGCGTCCGATTGCCCAAACAAAACAAATCTTGCGCCTAAAGATTACCCAAGTGGCCAGCTAAAAATTTACTCAGAGCCTCTGTATATCTACTTTATCATTTGAACTCCGATCTTTGAACGAAGTTCCTCAAATTTTACTCGTCCAGAGATTTGGTGAAAATGTCTCCAAGCTATTCCTCTGTTCAGATGAAGTCAATCCTCAAAAGTCCTCGATCTGCACACTCCTGATGTAATGGAACCTGATCTCTATGTGTTTGCTTCGGTCGTGCAAAATTGGATTTTTGATCAGGGAGATCGTAGCTTTGTTGTTGATGTAAAGCATTGGTGGATGGCCTTCTCTTCTGATGAGTTCTTCCATCAACCGCGCAAGCTAGACCTCGTGTGTTGTTGCTGTCGAAGCGGCGATGTACTCTGCTTCGCAAGAAGACAAAGCAACTACCTTTTGTTTAGTTGATTGCCAGCAGATCGCGCCGTTTGAGAGGAAGTAAATCATTCCGGTGGTGCTCTTACGATCATCAACGTCACCCGCCATGTCACTATCACTGTAGCCGACCAGCTCTAGCTTCTCCTTTCCTCTCCTTGCACAGTATTTCACACCCCAACCTCTGGTTTCAGCCACATAGCATAGGATGCGCTTGACAGCCACAAGATGCTCCTTCCTAGGTGCTTTCATAAACCTACTTACGTATCCAACGGAATAAGCGAGGTCAGGGCGTGTGTTTACTAGATAGCGCAGGCTCCAAAAAATGCTGTGGTAATTAGTGGCATCGACTGCCGTCGTAGTGCCGGCCTTACTTAGCTGGAGCTGGGCCTCTATTGGTGTCCTTGTAGGGTTACTGTCCACTAGCCCAACTGTATTCAATAGCTTCTTCGCATACGCAATTAGGTAGATGGTGATGCCGACAGTACTCTATTGTACTTTGATGCAGAGGTAGAGCTGAGCACGTCGAGATCGCTCATCTTGAAGTTCTTTAACATCTCCCTCTTGAATCTTCCAAGAACTTCCATGTCGCCTCCAATAATTATGAGTTTGCGACGTACACTCTCACAATCCACCGCTGCTCGCAGTGGCCGTGCATGTACATACCATGCTCAGTGGCACATCGCTTGAACTTCAGTCACAGTAGGGTACTGTCGAGCTTTGTATTCCAAGCTCGTGGTGCTTGCCAAAGCCCATAGAGTGCTTTGTGCAGGCGCAGTACCTTGCCGGAGTTGTCCTTGTCCTGAAAGCCAAGTGGTTGTTAGACATAGTGTCATGACCAAATATTTTACTACAGACCGTGATTAATGACAAGACACAAATGCACAAAGTGATTTAAATGTGAAATAAAGAAAATCCTTAATTTCCAATAAAGTTTTTGGACGACAAACAACAAAACACATGACAGTTTGGAAATAAATTTGGAAAGTATGCAAACGCAAAATAAAGGCTGGATTGACGCCCCGGGACAACCCGTTCCTCTGTGACAATCCCCTTCTCCATCATGCCCGCCCTTGACCGACACCTCGCGCTCCTAAAAAAAGAAAAACATAGCAAGGATGAGTATAAAAATTATACTCAGTAAGCCACCTACTTGTAGGCTCTCGTCGCATCTTAATTTAATAGGTTCCCACGGTTTTCTAATTCGGTTCTAGGACATCTGATTCTAATCTTAGTTCTATGGAGCTTGCCCCTTGGGTTTCACCGGTTCGTCGTCCTTTGATTAAACGCCTAGAGGTTCCTTATGCCAAGCTAATATGGTTGGTACCTCTCTGGGAGGTGCTACCTCTACATGGCTATTTGGGACTACATGGTATCTAGCCTAGGGGTGTGCTGAATACCCCTATGCCCATATAGTCCCCCTATGGGAGGCGCGACCCAACCCGTTTCCATGCAGCTAGTGGGCTGTACGACGTGGGGACACATTTCCCATGCGAAATGGCTAAGAGTAGTAAGGACTGATCAGGGACCCTTGGTTCTCCCACGAAGCTATAGATACTGTTCTCAAGCTAGCAATCTATGAACACTCCCTAGGTACCTTGTTGCCATGGTAAACCGCTAAGTTCCTAGGGGAAAATTAAGTCTGGCTAGAGCGACATATCGCTCCTAACAGTAATCCCTTAAGCTTATCATAGAAATGGGCCCTAGCAATTAACAGAGTGTGCATGCAACCGTCTTCTAACATCATAATATATAATTCATGCAAACTAGTCATACTGGCTCAACATGGCGATGACTTCCATCAAGCACCCAGAGCACGAAGTTCGCGCTCAATGGGGCGAATTCGCCCATCAAGCACCCGGAACACAGAATAAACACTTCCAACATAAATTAAACGCATGCATACATACCGCGGAAGCTTAAAGCATACAAGCAACACTCAGATAATTCACCCAATACCCTCATAGCAATCAATCTGGCTAATATTTTACATGGAGAGCTAATCTGAAACAAAATTACTAGCATGCATGCAATCCAAGCGAATCCTACAAGTATTTCTTCCTAAATACCGGGTGGTGACTTACCTAGTTGACGCGTGCCTTTTTGCTAGCGTTTCTTTGCCCCTAAGGTGTCCAAAAATACTGATTTCTTTATATTAGGTTCTTATTCACGTAAAAACAGTATTAGAACTGGAACAGGGACAAAAATCAGGCAAACAGAGGGCAATCGGGCCAAAACAGCCATTTTACGTGCGCTGACCACGCGCGTGGACGTGCGCTGACCACGCGCGTGGACGTGCGCTGACCACGCGCGTGGACGTGCGCCAGTTGCAGGCCGCACGTGCGGCAGCCCCTGCGCAGTCGCAGGTCGGCCGATCCGGTTTGGCTCAGCTTTGCAGGCGACACGTGTCGTCGCCTCGCTGAAGTTGCATTGCTCTAGCCTACGGTCGACGCGTGTCCGGCGCTTGTCACGCCGCCCTCCGATGCTTGCCGGCCGACCTCTCTTTTTTTTCTTTTTCTTTTTTCTTTCTGTCCTCTGAAATCCGTTACACATTCCCCTTTTCCGATTTTCATATCTTTTGATCCATAGATTGGATCAATATGATTTCTTCAGCAAAGTTCTAGATCGTGTTACAGGCTACGTCCTAGTATTTTTTTTGTAATTTTTGCTTGACTACCGGACGAGTTAAGAGCGTCGGAAGTTTGCTCACCGTTCTCGGACGATTCTCAGATCTCCGCCTTTAGGTTG